TGATCCCGATAATTTCCCTCCATTGGAAAATTTCTCAGCATATCCCTTTGCTCACACATTTCCTTAGACAGGAAATTAAATGCTTTTAACATATCGGTTATTACAAGATTGTGGTTACACTCACCTATTTTAAATGTTTCCTCTTACGGGGGGGGGGGGTAGAGAAGAAGGGAAGGTATAGGTGTGAGGTGGGGAGGGAAAATACCTCAGGAGACAACTAGTACCTTGCAAGAGGCTTCTTAAACCGGATATGAAAAAGTTTGATGCGTATCTTCTCTACTAGAAAAATCAGATAAGAAGATTATTATTGTTATTCAGCTGTGAGGTGAGGATAATATTCCAAAGATTTTTTTTCCCCCCTTCACTCTCTGCTCTGAGTCTCCATTCAAAGCTGCAAATGTCCCCTCAGTTGGAAGAATCTGTTCAGTTCCAGGATGGCTCATTGAGGCTGGGGAAAGCCTTTCTTTGGGTATCAATTACTCTGGTCTACCAGACGCCCCATTTGCACGAAAGTATGTTTGACACAGGCAGCAGTTCGGCCTCCTCCAAGAAAACCATTAGGTACATACTTGTCTCATAGAATGAGGAGACCAGACAACCAGAGAAGTGTAATGACGATCCAGTCGGGCTGTAGTGAAGACCTCACGTCTGGAACCTACATAGAGTTGCCTGGCTCTTGGGTTTAGACGTTTGGATGTTAGAAACCCAGTTCTCCACTCTCTGCTCCCTGGCGCAGGTGAGCCAAGTGGGGACAGCAGATCCACCATATTGATTCTTCCCTCTAATCAAGACTGCCTCGGATTTGATTTTATTGTTTTAAAATTTCTTTTAATATTTATTTATTTTTGAGAAAGAGAGAGAGAGCACGCGAGTATGAGCGGGGGAGGGGCAGAGAGAGAGAGGGAGACGCAGAATCCGATGCGGGGCTCAAACCCACAAACCATGAGATCATGACCTGAGTCCGAGTCGGAAACTCAACCGACTGAGCCACCCAGGCGCTCCGTGAGACTCCCTAGGATTTTAAGAGGAAGTTTCTCACTGAGCTGCACTGTGAGTCAAGAAATGCCTTTCCGCAAATCGTGTTGATGACAGAAAGAAATGGTTTGGTTTTGGTCAAGAGGAGCTATTCTTAAATGTTTCCTAGGAAATGGATTAACTTTATAGGCCTGGGCACTTATTTCTTCACCGCGGCCGTCTGTCCTCTCTCCCATTTCTTCTCCTGGGCCCTTATCTCCCAGACTTGCTAAATTCCCTGAAACAGGAAATGTTTGGATTGCTGGAGGGAATGATTTCAGGGATAAAAAAAAATCTTTTCCCTGAAATAGAGAATTTCCCTTTAAACACTTTTTATTATCTAATCTGTGATGGGACAGATGACAAAGCCCTGGCAGAGAATTATTGTTGGTGGATCGGTTGATCTGCTGATGCTCAAGGTTTTATGGAAACTTCCAAACATTCCAAACACTTGTTATTCTTTGGGAGGCAGTTGGTAACGCCATCCTACCCAAAGCGAGTAGAGAGAGAGCACACAGCAGCCAAGCAAAGCGACATATTTGTAGAGGATAAAAATAAAAACAGTTCCTTTCACCAATTTTTTCTCATTAGGCACGAAAAACTGAAATCTACGGAGAGGAGAGCAGAGAGCTCATTCGCTAGAGCACTGGAGTCCCTCCCCCACCCTCCCTGGGTGTGGGGGGTGAGGCACAGAACATTTCCATACAATTGATGCTATTGATGTGAAAGCACAGTGATTGAAATGTCTCAGTTCTGCATTTCAGAAGGTCTAGCCAGGAGAAGGCAAGGGTGTGTGTGTGTGTGTGTGTGTGTGTGTGTGTGTGTAGGGGGTCGCTTGCGTGAACAAGTACTGCTTTGGTAGATAAACACAGCCTCCTAATTTCCTCTAGAATCAACAGTCTATGTCTTTATTCTGGTCCAGTTGGGACCGTAATCTGACACCAAGCCCAAACTGTATCAAACCCAGGCAGAGAAAGTTAGGTTGCGGGCTATTCCCTGGCCTCATCTTAGGTTTCCTTCAAGAAGGAGAGGCGTAGCTGCCTCTTCGCATTGACCACAATTTGGTTCCGCTACCTCTGTACATCCCAGGTCACTTACAACTGTAGCTACATTTTCACAAGGGACGGAGAACCGAAGCACCACAGGACTCCTGCATGAAGTTTCACGCTTTCCCAGCAATTTACTCAAGAAAAAGTGGGGAGGAGGGGGGAGGAGGGGGG